CCCTTCTCCCACCTTCTGCGTGTCCTGATTAGACAGACTGCAATGGACAGGGCTGTCACATATTCTGTGCATGTTTAGTGCCTGGCACAACACAGCTCTGAGCTCGCCTCCAACCCACGGCTGCTGCAGGAGCAATGGGACCGAAATGGACCTCATGGCGCGCAATGTGGAGGGCAGCGGCCACCCGATGTCTGCTCCCTGCAAGGATCCAGCGCAGGCTGCAGTTACCACTGCTCCCCTGAGGACTGTGTGCCCAGAGGATGCATCCCACCTGAAAAAGGAGGAATTTCCAGGCTCCATCCCTGCCATGCTTAGGGATTGCCCTGCATCCACCGGCAGTCACCTCAGCAGCTGGTTCGGCAACCCACACGGTCGTTTCCTTGGTGTTCCTGTAACTAATAAGTGAAATTAATTCGTTGATGTTAACTTAATGGGCTGCACTAGAGCTGACAGGGAAAATGCGCTGTCTGAGTCGGGGGTTGGCAGAAGTCCCTGCCTTTGCTTGCTCTGTGCCAGGTGAGCTTTGCCTTTCGCAGAGGGATTGCTCCAAACAGCTGCTGTGGCCATCAAACCTCCCACCATGGAGCCCTGTTCCTGCCTCATCTAACCCTGCTGTGGAGACTCCATGTGCTAACATCTTTCCTAACCGGTACCTTTCTCCACAAAATAGGAGATAAACCTATTAGAGAAACACTTAAAAAACAGAGGAGGAAAAAATCAGTGCTTTTATCTCAGGGTTTAAAACCAGTATTTTCAAATCTGCCCCCAGCCACGTCTGACCAAACCCACAGTGCCCGGGCGGGAAAGAGCAGCCACAAAGAAAACCTCCAAACTGGAACCGCAGCTTTTCATACCTGTCATGATGCGGATTTTCAGCTTGAGCACACAAGGCTGAGCTCAGGGGACACTGTCATGTAGATTTAGGGTTTTATCTCCTTTCCTCTCCATTAGCTGTGATACCCTCTTATTATGCTGCAAACCGAAATGTCCCTATTTTTTTCCTCCAGCGGTTGTCCCCTTTCCCGTCCGGCAAATATCGATCTGTCCTCGGCGCGGGTTGAAACCAGCCCCACTCATCCTCTGCCTCTCGTGGGGCCGAGCGCCCGCGGTGCCACCTCTGATGCCATCAGCGACCGGCGCTGGCGGTGACAGAGGGGACTGAGCAGGACGGGGCTGATTGCGCTTGGCAGGTGGAGAGGGGACGGGAAGGGCAGGGAGGGAAAGAGCAGCCCAGGATAACCACAAACTTCTCGTACATCCGTACCCTGCGGCACCTTGGGCAAGGGAAGCTCTCCCGGCAAAGGAGAGGGGCTGGCCTATGCAGGAGGCTGCTCCCACTTATTTTAAGCCAATTTAATTAAATCGCTTGGAAAGGTTGCGAGAACTCATCTATTTCAGCTTGAACCAGGCCTGTTTCGATTTAGCGCTGGCTGATTAGGAATTAGCTGATACAAACCGCTCAGGAAACAAAATTAGAGGGTGTGCACTAACTTTTGCACCAGATTATGTCGAATTAAAAAGCAATTGAAATGTAATTTTCCTGTCTCAGGCAGCCAAGAAACAAGATAATGCAACTGGTGGCACTTGAAGCTTAAAAATACAGCATCAAGGATTAGCACAACTGGCTTTTTAATGCCCACAAACAGCAGATTTATCTGAAGGTCTTCTCTTAACATCCTCCCCCCATCGTCTTCTGCACAAAGCTTCGTACAACGCATTTCATTTGCCTTGAAAGGGAGAACTGATGTGACCCCGGGGTTTGAATCCATGGCTTAAAGCAGCCTGGGTGTTGCACAGCGCATTTCCAGAGGTATTTCCATGCTGGAAATAGCTGCAGAGGGAACTAGTTGTTCCCTGAAACTCGTATAATTCGGTTGGAAACAGCTCCTGTGTGCATGGCTGGTGGGGTACGGGGGCCAGGATGTGCTCCTGGGGTGCGGAGGGTGCAGACCCCAGTGATGGGTGCTGCTTCCACCTCGCTCCCCCCCTCCTGCAGTGAGCACAGGCACCCACTCTGCATTACCACCCACCTCCCTCGCAGAAAGAGATGTCAGGTGATTTAAAATCAGGTTTTAATTAAATATCTTAATAGCTGCTTTCCCTGCCCATTTCGCAAAGACTGCTCCTCCTCTCTCCATCTGCACAGAGCGGTGCGGAGTGAGTTTTACGGGGCTTTGCTAAAAAGAGTGATGGCTTGGAGGGCTTGCAAAACCTTCAGCAGTTCAGAGTCCCCCAAACTGCCCACAGTGCTGCAGCCAGGCCCCGCTGTGAGTGGTTATTTGGAGGGCAGGGATGCTGCGGTCCCCATTGGCCGGAGCAGTGGCACGGGCAGGAGGATGAGCCCAAGCATTGGCGTGTGGCTGGTGTTAGGGCACCGATCTCTGAGCTAAAGCTGATGGAGGCTGTGATAGGCACACAACATGGCATGATAAGAGCTGCCTAGCAGCTCCTGGCCAAAATCTAGAGGACTTATGGAGATGATAAGCTCTTGATGGGGTTCTCTCCATGCTATCTCCTGCCGCAGCCCTGCTAGGTTCCCACCTGCACCAGCCAGAGCTCAGTGCCTGCTGCTGCTCCAAGATTCTTAATCCTGTCTCACCCCGTTTGCAATCTCCATGTGGCCAATTCCCCTCAGCCACCGCCTGGCTCCATGGTCCTGGTCCCTGCTGACCAAAGGCTCTGCTCTCCTGGCCACATCCCCACCTGCAAGGACGTCCCAGCTACCAGGGCAAAATAGGGGCATCCCCACCCTGCGTGTCCCCTGTGCTCCCCCTCACCTCACAGCAATGGGGATGCAGCACTCAGACTGTCCCCTGTGTCACAGGACACTATAGGGGTGCAGGCTGGCATCTCCCATGGAGGGTCTGGCCACAGTCAAGGCCAAAGTGAGCAGAGCATAAATGTAGTGTGCTGTCGGGTGCTGGTTTTGGCTGAGATAGAGTTAATTTTCTTCATAGCAGCTAGTTTGAGGCTGTGGTCTGGGTTTGTGCTGAAAACAGGGCTGATAATACAGGAGCAGGGTGGCCCAGGCAGGGGGGGAAGCTCAGGAGGGAAGGTATCACCATCCACCATCATCATCAACACCATCCACCATCATCATCACCATCACCATCCATCATCATCGTCACCATCATCACCATCATTTGACCTCATTCATGGGGATCAATTTGGAAAGGGCAGTGTCAGGAGGAAGGAGCCAGGCTCTGCTCTGGGATGGCCAATGCCAGGACAAGGGGCAATGGTCCCAAGCTGGAGCACAGGAGGTTCAAGCTGAAGATGAGGCCAAACTTTGTCAGGGTGAGGGTTATGGCGCACGGCCCAGGCTGCCCAGAGAGGTTGTGGAGTCTCCTTGTCTGCAGACACCCAAAGCCCTGGCCATGTTCCTGTGTGACTGCTCTGGTGATCCTGCTGTGGCAGGGGTTGCACTGGGGGAGCTTTCCAGGTCCCTTCCAACTCCTCACATTCTGTGATCATCACCACCCTCCTCCAGGTGCATCAAAGCAGCCATAGCCATGGCACAGCTGGGGATAATGGGGAGGCTGTGCTGGGAAGAGCCAATCATGGAGGGGAGCTGGCTCCATGGGAGCAATAAAAGAGTCAGTCTGAGGTAGTGGGGTATGAGAGGGAGTTGAGGTAAGTGTTTTTGTTCTTCCTTGTGGTGGGTGGTGTCTGGCTGCTGCTTGGCTGGCATCAGCATAGGGGTTGCAATGCACCTCTGCTGAGGTGAAGGAAGCTTCCCCAAAATGAAGAGACCTTTTGGGATGTTATTGTGGTTTCCTTGTTGGGGGGAAAACAAGGGAGAGGGGTGGCTGAAGCAGTTCTTGAGGTTTCAGTATAGGACTTAAGGCTATGGGCTATGAGGTAGCTTATCTGGGAGCTGGGAGAGGTGGCTGGTGCAGTGTTGCAGTAAGGAGCTGATGGTGCTGGTGTCCAGCTTTGGGTGATGGGGCAGGAAATAAGGAGAGAGAGGATCCTCCTGCCCAGGAAACTCCATCAGAAACTTAAACTTAGAGAGCTGGAGTAAGAGGAGCTCCTGGAGGCTGCTCTGAGCCCTAGGTGCTGGCTGTAAGCCTGAGGAGAGGTGAGGATGCAGCATCTGTGTGTGATCAGCCCTGTGTTCCTGCACAGCCTGGCTCTAGGGGCCCTTGGTGGTGTCTGCCTGCTCTGGAGAAGCTTCTACTTCTGCTGGGTGGAAGCCTTGCTTTTCCTCACGAACTCTCTGGAGGCTTGCCCTTGGTCTTATTTGTGTGTGTATCTGTAGCTCTTACTAAGAGAGGGTTAGAAATAATTGTTACTTGTCCCTATTTAATGTTTTTACCTGGAAATCCTTACTGGTGGCTGGGTTTCTAGAACTCTTTGCTTGGTCACCCCACTGAATGTCACTTTGTCTTTCTAGTCCTTTAATTTATTGTTGTTTGCCCTACTGGAGGGTTGCTGGTATAAGAAGCCAAGCTGGGCTGTGTGGTGGGGTGAGAGGATAGGCTTGGCTGTGGCTGCTTGTCCTTAAACCAGGCCTTACGCTGATGCTTTTGGAGGCAAGAGGCCTTGCCAGGCTTGGGCTCTGTGTCCAAGTAACCCCAGAAGCCCTGGGATCAGAACCAGAGGAAGGTGGTGTTTCTGTATCTGTGAGAAGTGGCGTGTCCAGCTTCCTTATGGGGTGACAGCAGCAGGAGCTGTAATTTCTGTAGCCTGGTATTAAGTGGTGCTCTGTGCTTGCGTTCAGCTCAGCTGCAGGGTGGGAGGATCCTGCTGAGCTCTGCTTGGGGCAGGAGATCTCCAGCATCCCCTGTGCTGGGAGGCTGGGGAGTAAATGTGTGGGGCAGGTCACTGGTGGGAGCATGGTGGGTCCCGACCCCTGTGTGGATGGAGGGGGGTGTTGCTGGAGCAGCTGTGACCTGACACTGCTCTGTCCTGAACCCCAAAAGCACGTGAAGGCTTTTGGCTGGCAAACCTCTCTCAAACCTGCCAAGATGCCAGGCAAGGACAAGCAGAGCGAGAGGATGAGCAAGTTCAAGAACAAGGGCAAGAACTCAGATGTAAGTACCCCTATACCCCCTTGTGCTATCCCCTTTGGACAGAGGCCCCTCTGGGGCTTTGCCTGGTGGCAGGAGCTGATGCGAAGGCTTCTGAAGGGTGTTTGCCCCCAAATCTACCTGTATGGGGTAGCAAAGGTGTGGGGAGGTGGCTCTGCCAGCAGGGCTGCTCAGCTTTTGAGATGTGGGGTGGAGCTGGCTGGGCTGTGAGGAGCATGGTGGCACAGGCAAGGGGGACGTGGGTTTTGGGTGGGTGACTGAGCTGGGAATGGGAGATGGTCCAGCCTCTCCTGCCAAGCTCTCTGCAGCAGATATCCCTGTGGAGGAGGGCTGGCAGGGAATGTCAGACCATAGCATCTGTCAGTTTGCTTTAAGTCAGTGGAGGAGATGAAGGTTTGTCTTTCAGGTTCAGCGAACCCATTTTTAAAAACAGCCACTGGTTGCTGGTTCATCCAGCAGCTCTTGTCCTTGGAAGGCACCAAAAGAGGCTTCACTCTGTCCCATCTCCTCTGTAACTCCCTGACCCATAGCAAGGAGCGACCCAAGAGCAGATGGTGGCTCTCTGCCTTCATTCCTTGGGGCAGAGGGACACAGCTGAGCATCCTGGGGACCCAGGTGATGCAGACACTGGGGGGGTGGTGCCCTTCTCCTCCCCTCTAGGCCCTGCGGAGGCAGAGAGTGGAGGTGAGCGTTGAGCTGCGAAAGGCCAAGAAGGATGAGCAGATCCTGAAGCGCAGGAGTGTTTCGTTCAGTTTGGATGAGAGTGTCTCTCCGGGAGAAGACAAAAAGAGTGAGGTGAGCACTGGGTGCTCTGCACCTGGGCAGGATCTGCAGTAGGCTAGCTCAAGGGACCTGGGTTAAATAGCCAGTGCCATTCCTCATCACCGTGCCCAGCAATGGGGAGTGTCTCAGGCTGCTTTTTCTGTGTTACTTTGCATGGAGGTGCTGTCCTGTGTGGCTTCCTTCGATGGCACAGGTAGAACTGGCTGGTGCTCCAGAACTGGGAGCTGGTGAAGCTCCTGTCTGGCTCCTTGCACAGCAAGGGGTAATTAACGAAGTTGAAGGCCCATTACCGTGTGTCAGTGACTCTTCCAGTGCTTGATTATAAGGATTAGTTGCCTCAAAGGCGTTTGTGGATTCTCTTCCTCTGCCTCATCTTGAAACTGCATTGCATAAAGAGTAGACACTGCTTAGATATGAAGTGGTGACTGACTCGGGTCTAGACAAGCTGATTGACCGCAGAGATTAAACCAAAGGGAGCCCAGGCTCGCTGTCTGACTCTGAATCATTCCCTGTGACACAGATTCCTGAGCTGTCCTTGGACGATATCGTGGAAGCCTTGAATGGGAGCAATGAGGAGCTGCAGCTGGAGGCCACGCAGGCGGCCAGGTATGCTGTGCTGGGAGGGAGCCGTGTGGGTCCTGATAACCCCAAGTGCCCTGAGGGACCTTGATTGCTGCCTGTTTTGGGCCTTGCTTGGCTCCACCACAGTCCTGGGCAGGGACTTGTGTGGTTGGACCTGACCAAGGGCTTGGTGGTTGCTCCTGGCGCTGCCCCCCTTGCTGTGCTGGGGCAGAGACTGTTGGCTCCCACAAGAAATCAAGAATCTCTTATGGATGCTGCTTCACTTGCCGGCCACAACCTTCTACGTGGCCACAGGGTTATGGTCTATTATGGCACCGTGCAGGGTTTCTCATGGCAGGCTGTGTGGTGTCCCCTCTTGCAGGAGGATGCTGTCCAGGCAGAAGGACCCCCCCATCAACCAGGTCATCAAGCTGGGGATCATCCCCAGGCTGGTTGAGTTCCTGAGCCGCGCTGACAACGCTGCTCTGCAGTTCGAAGCAGCCTGGGCTCTGACTAACATCGCCTCTGGCACCTCTGACCACACCAAGGCGGTGGTGGACGGCGGTGCCATCCCGGCCTTCATCTCCCTGCTGTCCTCCCCGTACATGCACATCAGTGAGCAGGCTGTGTGGGCACTGGGCAACATTGCTGGTAAGGAGAGCTCTCAGGGCCTGGGGTGTGCAGGGAGTCACTGCCCAAACCACTGCTGGGGAGCTACAAATACCAGTGTTCCTCAGGATAGCCCTGTCTCCCTGCAGCTTGGTGTCCAAGCTGCTGCCCCTATTGAAACCCTGAACACTTCATGTGGCCTGGCAGCCTCTGAGACCCTGTGTTGGCTCTGCAAGAGGATTTTGGCCAAAGCCAAGTGCAAGACTCCATCCTGCTGGCAAGGCCAAAGTTGCCAGTGTGGTCACTGGAATGGGTCATGGCTGATTAGCCATGGTGGCACTTGTCACCAGATAAATCTTCACCTGAAAATCCCTCATGGTGTGTGAGTGCCCTGTTGCTGCAGGGCTGATTGCTATTTGATGTTGGCTGTCTTGTTTGGGCAAATGCAGTAACTCTCTTTCATCTGTACAGGTGATGGCCCTATGTATAGAGATGTTCTTATCAACTGCAGTGTGATTCCTCCCTTGCTGGCTCTGGTGTCACCTATAACTCCAGTAAATAACCTTCACTTTCTTGACTTAACACCTCCTTAATCACTTGGGTAATGGGTGTATGGTGGTCTATCATCTGCCTTACACACATCAAACTGTTTATACAATTGCATGAGACCCTGTCCTAAACTGCTTTTAATGACCCTGACTCAGCTCTGTACAAAGCTGGGGTGCCAAACAGGCAGTTTTCAAGTCAATGAGATGTCTTTTAGTCTTCCCTATCCAGCTTTGACTATATCAATTTAGGAATAAGTGAAACTGGTGCAAGGCAGAGTTGTGTATGCATGTGGAAGGGCTGAAATGGCCCTTCAAGCTTTGTCCTGCTGCTTTTTAGGTAGCCCTGAATTGCTGGATTTGTGGCTTATCTCTGCCCTTCTGCAATGGTGCCTCTCCTACTGCTTCCCCAGCCTCTGGGCGAGGAGGAACGTGACAAACCAGCAGTTCATAGAGACACGCACCTTGGTAGCTGTGATGCTTTGAATGCAGCTCCTGTGCCCTCCTGAGAGCATCCTCACTGGGATGAACCGTCTGAATGATGCAACTTGACCAAATCCTGCCCTATTGTAGAACAATGAGCTGCTAATATTAAAAATTAATAATATTCCTGCTCTTGTCTGAAGCGTGCTCTGTGACTTGTCCCAAGGACCCAGCAAATAAGCTGTCTGGCACCTTTGTTTGGTCATTGCAGCTTGTCACGCCATCAGACCTGAAGTTGTTGGAACTTAATATTTGGGAAGCAGAGGGTAAATCTACTCTTAGGCACTTACTGGTTTTATTTCTCTTCTTCACATAAGCCTCAGCCCTTAAGAAGGCTGCTACTGGATAACTTCTCTGAGCCATAGGGACCAGAAGCAGGGTGCTACCTCTTCCCAGTTTGTTACTGCAGCGAGGGTCTTACACCTCTCCTGTGTTTCAGGTTGGGTTCCTGAGGAACATCACATGGACGCTCTCAAACCTCTGTAGGAACAAGAACCCCTACCCTCCTGCGGATGCTGTGAAAAAGATGCTGCCAGTGCTCGTCTATCTCCTGCTCCATGATGACAAGGACATCATTTCTGACTCCTGCTGGGCCATGTCCTATCTGACCGATGGCTTCAATGACCGCATCCAAACTGTGGTGGATACAGGGATTCTCCCAAGGCTGGTGGAGCTCTTGTCCAGCCCAGAGTTGACCATTTTGGTAGGAAATATCAGTAATACTCAGCCTCTGGTCCCTTAATGTAGGAGCATCTCAGGAGAGGGAGGGCATGCCTCCTTGCTCTATGTGCCCGGTGTGCTCTGGTGTCTCCTCAGACTGCAGGATTGGTTGCTTGTTTGCCAAGCCACTGCTCTGTTGCAGCTTGCAGACTGGATAGAAGCTGCAAAGCTGCTTAGAATGAAATAGGAGGACTGTAGATACAGCAGTAATCACCCACAGTGCTTTCCTTACTTGAAGGATCGAGCACTTGATAAGCCATCTTGCTGGACTTTCTGGCATTGTATCCCTTGAGGTAAGGGTCCTTCTCATCTCCTTTAATCTCTGTCTAGACTCCAGCTCTCCGTGCTGTTGGGAACATAGTCACAGGCACTGACCAGCAGACCCAGGAAGTGATCAGTGCTGGTGCCCTGACTGTCCTGCCCAGCCTCCTGCGGCACGCGAAGCCGACTATCCAGAAGGAAGCTGCGTGGATGCTCAGTAACATCGCAGCGGGGTCTTGCCAGCAGATTCAACAACTCATCACTCATGGGTTATTGCCACCTCTGGTGGAGCTGCTTGAGAAGGTAAGGGATGGGTGCAGTGCTGGGGTTCATGAGGTCCATGATGCCCCATTGGTGAAGCACTCGGTGTGTGCCCAAGAGCCACCTGAGCAGTCTGCCTCAAAGCTGTTGGTCCTTGGAACAGCCTGGATGCTCAAACTTATTGCTACACTGAAAGCATAGCTTGGAGCTGCTCTTGGTGGCTCTGCCAGGCGCCCACTCATCACTCAAAGTGCTGGTGAAGTTGGGTCAGGCCAAACTGAACACAAGGGGAGTGGTTGTCTTGTCACACTGATTTAGAGGGATGCTAAGGCTTCAGGGTGCCCTCGCTGTGCTGCTCTTCCAGGGAGACTTCAAAGCTCAGAAAGAAGCTGTGTGGGCAGTGGCCAACTTCATAATGGGAGGCACCGTGGAGCAGGTGGTGGAGCTCCTCCAGGCCGGGGTCCTCAAACCTCTGCTCAACCTGCTCTCAGCCCAAGACAGCAAAACAATCCTGGTCATCCTGGATACCATTTCAAATCTCTTCCTGGTAAGATCTCCTGTTTCTTGCATCCTTTCCCAAAAGAGCAGCAAGGTGTGAGCCATTGAGTGGCTGGAACAGCTCCTGCAGCAGTAAGAGCTAGACTTTGTGTTGTGTAACTCATTCTTGGACGCTCTGGGGTTGTCTTGGCAAGATTAAGTTCCCAAAGTGTTCCTCTTCACCTCCTGTGACTCTGGTCTCCTTCTGGAAAGGAAACGAGGTTCTCTGTTAATTGCCAATCTGGACAGAGGTGAAAGTCTTGCAGAAATGCAACTGCAGAGAAGTTGAGTCATCCTGGAGGCATTTTGGAGGCATTTTGGCTCCGCTCCCTGCCAGCTGATTTGTGCCTCTGATTTTTTTGTAGCACCTTTGAACCAGTGAAACGGCTTTTGCAGATGAAAGAGTGGGTGGCAGATCACCCCTGCTGCTTCTCCATGTGTGGATGTGACCAAGCAGGGTTTGGCTGCCTTGGTGGGTTGGTGGCCAAGCCACTGCCCAGTAATCCCAGCAGGGCCTGGTGTTTAACATGCATTTGTGGTCACATCCCTGGGATCAGGTAGGGACCATAAATGCATGACTGTGGTCCTTTGACTTGTAGACCAGGGTCTTGCACTATAAAGACCATCTCAGACCTGTTACTGATGCAGGGTTGTGTTTATCTGATGGTGCAGGCAGCTGAGAGGCTGGGAGAGACGGACAGGCTGTGTCTGCTGGTGGAAGAGCTCGACGGCCTGGAGAAAATTGAAGCCTTGCAAAACCATGAGAACAACATGGTCTACCATGCTGCACTGCAAATCATAGAGAAATACTTTTCTGGTGAGGTATGTGAGCTCTTGCTGTTTCTCATCTGTAAATACGTGCTTCATTCCAGCGTGTAATAGCTTCAGACTCTAAGGATGCTGAAATGGGTTTTTGGAAGAGGCTTCTACATGACTAGAGTGCTTCTTGCAGCTTATTCCAGTTGCTTTTAAAGCTCTATAAAAGCTCAGAGTTGTCAGCCCATGAGTTGCACAACAGAAATGGATGCCTCGATAGCATCTTGCTGCTGTAATTTGAACTGGCATCAGCTGGAGGTACTGCAGTTGCTGATATGAATACCAAATGTGGAGAAGCTTCCTCCTTCAGAGCTGAGCTAGGTTGTCACCATGGATGGAAGCATCCCTACTTGGCTGATAACTGTGCTCAGGTTGCATTTGGATTACTTGACCCTCCTCGTGCTAATAAACTCATGGAAAAAGAGTATAGTACACCCACCAGCAGCTCCAGGAGTCCCGTGAATCACAGATGCTGTGCTTGCTCCCAGCCTTGGTCTTGCAGGCCATTTAATTTGAGTTCTGCCCCTCTTTGGCCTCTGGTGTCTGAGCCTGTGGACTTGGCTGATCTGTGTGTGTGAGATGCAGAGACACTGCAGCTTTGTGTATTGTAAAGAGCAGCACTTGGCCTGGTCTCCAAGGGTCCTGTTAAAGCCACATTGATCTTAAGAGCTTGTTACAGCAGCAGAATTTTTTAAAAGCAAGAATAAAGCGGTAAGCTGCTGTAGAAAGCTTTGAGCACACTCTGGTGCAAAAGGCCTGGGTTTATTTGGTTTATTGAGATGCAGAACCTTGATCTGATGGCTATCAACTTCCTCCTAGGAGGCTCCAGATGTGTAGTCCTGGGCCAGCCAAGACTGGGAGATTTCTTGGAGGAGAAGCAGGACTTTGACTTCTGAAGATGAAGCACTGCACACTGAGCTGGTGGGTGGAATTAGAGCTTGGGGATCCACACCAGGAGGAGTAAAGATGCAGAGTCTCTTTACTTCTGAAACTTGTCAATAAATTGCACTTCTGGCTTTGTACTTCTTGCCTCTGATTATTCTTTCCTCATAAGTGGCTGTTGCAAACAGCATAGACTTTTTTTTCCCCATGGTGTCTTAAGGCCCTGGAGGGGAGGTATTGGAGTTCCTGGGCATGTTTTTTGGGTGGAAAGTGCAGCCAGAAACTTTCTGCCAGCTGCATTAAGCAGGGAGTTACCACCACATCCAAATGTCTCAGTGCTTGTGTTCAGGCTTCTAGGCTTGACATGGAGTGGCTGAAAGAGCTCTGAAAAGCTATGCAAGAGGAGGTTCACCCTTCTGCAGGTGAAGCCACGTCCATGCAATAGGAGATGCTTCCTGCAGAGAAGGAAATTGGCCAGGGAAGGTGGGTCATTCTTACTCCCCCTCCCACATGGGAGTATTTGGGGTCTGGACACAGGTAAATGCTGGTTCTCTGGCAGCGAGGCTGTGTTGGAGGTGGATATTGCCATGGGAGTCAATTCTCCTCCCACAGCAGCTCCCCGATGCAATCCAGCACCCTGGAGCCCAGGTCCTTGAACACCCAGGTCCTGTATTTCAGGTTTCCATTGCAGGTCACTCTCCCTTGCTGAGAGGAGCCTTCTTTCTCTCCAAGCCCTCCAACATTGGTCTCTGGCTGCAGCCTGAGCAAAGGGTGAAGATGGAGTTGATGTGGCCCTTGAGTTCAGCTTGCAGCAAGCTCTGATGCCCATCCCCTTATGAGGATATAAGGCATTGCCTGCTGAGGAGCGGCTGAGGGAGCTGGGGCTCTTGAGCTTGGAGCAGAGGAGACTGAGGGGTGCCCTCATTCATGGGGATCCATTTGGAAAGGGCAGTGTCAGGAGGAAGGAGCCAGGCTCTGCTCTGGGATGGCCAATGCCAGGACAAGGGGCAATGGTCCCAAGCTGGAGCACAGGAGTTTCAAGCTGAACACGAGGCCAAATTTTGTCAGTGTGAGGGTTCTGGAGCATGGCCCAGGCTGCCCAGAGAGGTTGTGGAGTCTCCTTGTGTGGAGACACCCAAAGCCCTGGCCGTGTTCCTGTGTGACTGCTCTGGTGATCCTGCTGTGGCAGGGGTTGCACTGAGGGAGCTTTCCAGGTCCCTTCCAACTCCTCACATTCTGTGATCCCTGTGGCTATAGGTACTGCTCTAATGGATGCACTGCACAAATGTGCTGCAGGTTCCTAACAACGTCCTGGCCACTGCCCCATCATTGCAGTGCTGATGGGTTATGGAAGGTTCTGCTGGGACCCTTCAGTCCCCAGGGCTTTGCTCTATGTGAGATGGGGGTGACAGCCTCCTTCTCCCTGTTCTGGGGCTTTGAGTCTTCAAAATGACCCTGGGTGTGTTCAGGGCTTTGTTTCCTTGGACACAGTGGGAGGTGATGTGATGGGAAACTTAATCTGAAAGGGAAATCTTCTCCAGGAAGCAGAACTTCTTCCTCCACCCTGGATCTGCTCATCAGAGGATTTATGCATTTCTCCTCCAGGCCACCTAGGGAAAAAAAGGAGTCGGGTAGTTAAAGTCTGGTTGTGCTCCATGCCCTGCATGGAGGTGTGCAGCCCTGATCCTGTGTGCCAGGGCTGGATATCACTTATTTAATATTAAAATACTGGAGCTGATGAATTGTAAAGTGCTTCTCAGGTTTTATTTCTTGGGTTTTATTTCTTTCAAAGCTGTGTACTTAAAGCTGTGCTAAAGTGATGCCTGAATGTGCAGCTAAAGCAAGTGCCTGTGAAAATCCTTTGTGCCTA